CATTTAGTGCTGAAAGCATCAAATCTAATTCCCGACCCTAACGTTCAACTACAAATCCTGATTCTGATTTTCCATAGTAATTCGTGACAGTTGTTCAACCACAGTAAATAGGTGGATAATCAAATATCGTTTCGGCTTTTCTCGAAGTTCGTCCACGAATTATAGTCTAACCACTGGATCAGAGATTTCTACCAAATGAACTGCGTCCTGCACGTTATCGGTAGGAGCTGAGTAGTAATTACCTTGAAAAAGTTTGTCTACGATGTCCTACAGATTTTTAATTAACTCCTCGACAAATTTTCCCACAGTCTTGCTAAGAGTGAAATTAACACAAAAGGAAACAGATACTGCTCCAAATGGATGAACTATCATACCATATTCCCTAACTTCCCGTCTTATGTCACCTTCCATAAGCCACCGCAGACGAAACACCCCATATCTCGCTACGTGATCCTTAATGGAAGAAGCATCTCTTTGATACCAACCACTAATGCGATATCACCTTGTGTGAACACCAACCCAACTATTTAGAATATTCTGTCCCCTCAAGACCCGATCACTGGGGGGAATCTTGAAGAACAGCCGTCCAGCTAAAAGGAATTTCTAACTTTCTTACCTTTTCAGTGTTGATAACAGGATGATGAAGAATATGCCAACAAACTTCTCTCCAGTCAAATCCCACCTTACTAGCTTCGACGATATAACCTTTACTAAAACGTCTATTCACTACAGCTGAGTATATTTTTCAGGGGGCTATTATCCTTCATGGACCTCTTTTTTAAACAGTTTATGCTATGTTTGACAGTTTAAAAACTGTTCGATGTCCTTGGATTGCCATACTTTCAAGGTAAACCCATTAGAAAATAACCATCCAATTGACCAAAGGGGTTAATGACTAGTTTTAAAGCTCTCTTATCTTAGGTAGAGCGTTCCTTACGAAACATATCTAAATTCTCGAGCTCGTGATTGCGTAATCTTCCAAGATCCCGTACAATATAGTGAGCTGAGGGTAAAATGACACAACCGAACTTGATGAACTGATCTATTTTCTCATTTGGGACCCATAAACATCCAACCGCGATGCGTATGCAAACCAAACGGATGTTTCCTACCTCCCAGACGTTCTTCACATGCAGAGTGTGTGTTTGAAGCATCACATCCAGTCAAGATGTCTATTTAGTTGCTCCGAAACCTCGAAAAAAATTATATCTTTTAAGTGCCTCAACAGTTCTAACTGTTTAGTTCATTTGGTATTGTTTGTCCGAATCTTCCCATTGATGTTTGAGACTGCAATTGGTCAGTCTCTAATTGGCATCCTTGTTTATAATGCTTGTGACGTAGGGCAATGTCGAGGCAATCAGCACAGGATGTACACACTCCAACAAGGGACTGCCAAATTGAAGTCCTAAACATCAATGGGAAGATTCAGACAAACAATACCAAATGAATTTAAACTTCACCCCATTGTACAGGCAAATGGCTGTCAGGACTCAGTAGCTAAGTGGATAACGTGAAGGCGTTTGAAGTGGATGGGGCTGCGATGAAGTCCTGGGGTGACCATAGACCCCGGAATGCAGGTAAATTCATCTGACGCGTCCCAAATAGGACGAAACGCGCGTCCTGGATTCCAGTGCTAGCCACCATCCGCCTTTGTTTATAGTGCCAACTGTTGTTTGGTTGAGTGTTCTTCTTGATTGTATAGGCTTGAATAATCCTTACAGATTCACTGTCATTGAAAAATATTTATAAAATTACCTTCAAACTTTTACGGGCAACAGTGTCATTCTCAGATATTATGCTTATCAAGGCTACTTTGTTTTCGAGAACCAAATGATTGAGTATTTCTTCGCATACGAGAGATGTGTCAGAACAACTATTTAAAATGGCGTAAGTTTCCGGAATTTTTTCACGATCATACAGCTTGACCTGATCAATACCCGAAGAAACGTTCAATGAGCTCTAATCTTTAGCTAAATTCACCATATGGTTGTTACCACCACCAATATGTAGCATTGGATGATGCTGAATCTTGCAGCTTTCAAAGTCATAATTAAATCCCGAAATACATGATCTAGCATTACGACCCTTTTTCAAACACAGATAGCATACATCTCGTCTTCTTCCTACCCATCTCCTTTTCATTTTCGATAACTCCGTATAATGTCGCTTTGTGACTAATTTGACAAAACTCGCAATCTTTAAAAGTAGTTGAGTTGTTTGTCTTTTGCTTAAATGTATTAACGTGAGCTCGCCTATCAACTTGGACTTCACAAAGTCCTTCATCCATTTGAGGGTCTTTTCTAACTGTTTCTCTTTAAGTAGTGACTTACCTAACTTTAGCAAAACTAAGCCTGTCAAAGCACATTCTGCTGACACTACTTTGATCACACTGATCCTCGCTAGCACCAAACAGTTGAAGAACAGTTCTGGGAAGCTAGGATTTTAATTTGTTTGCTCGCTTTTAACCTCCCACTCCTCTTTTCTGTAGCATATCATCGTTTCACACAGTTATGTCAACTGTAATTCAAATTAGAACAAAAGTAATCCAGAGGAATAGATTATAGGAATTAAAAATTCAATCCTAAATAAACGCTTAAATACAGTTCAAAATGTAAAGAGTTCAAAAACCGAATTTAAGAGCTTTCATATTGCGTTAGAATTTTTACCTAGTTCGTTACTGAAATCAGTAAAATTGATCCACCCGTGACTTACTGCTCGGATAAAAAGTGAACCGAAATCCCGTTCAAGCACTAAAGACACCACGTCGACCATCTGAAGAGACCCAGAGGTAAAAGATATTCCCTTTCTTTTCGAGCTATAAAAGAGCATAGTTTGGCATTTTCGGGGGTTATGCTTAGAACTGTTGTTGTGTGTATGTTGTCTCAGTAAAATTTAATTTTTAAGACTTCCTATAAATCCTCAGTGACAATCGAATAACAATGAACCATTATAAATCATCTCTGAAAATAAATAAACAACAACTTAGAAGATCCAGTCGGGGTTTTAAATACATGACGAAAAAGAAAGAAAGTTAAAAAGGGTCAGCGCTGGAACAGTTTTGCAGACTCCTTGGTAATATGGAGAAAAAGTCAGAAGTAGCCTAATGAAAATGTCAGTAGGCCAGAAATTGTTCTTCGAAGAATCTTACAGACAACAGCACTGACTGATACCATGGACAATGATGTAGTCTTGACGTAGGATTATACGAATCCGACAGTCACATCATGGGGAATTCGCGAATGCAAATTAGGTTATTGTATACGGGAGCCACAATAAATTCAGTTCCACTGTCCAAAAAATTTCTCAGTCGTGCATCCCTATTCAAGTATTTTGCTAGGTTCTCTTTTTCAATCATAGTTTTCAACATTTAATGTAAGATAGTGGGAAATATAATTCCTACGCAAAGTAAGGAAGTAAATGAATACTTCAGCTATTATGTTTTGACGTTACTAAGATGTCTGCAGCCAACTCCTAACCAACCAACCTAAGGTGTTATAGTCACTCTATGTAACTTCATAGTCTTCATGTCAAATATATTATGCTATCCCCAGTCTAGATGTGTTTTCCAAAGGCTATTACAAACATTACCGATGTTACGAGAGAACGAGTCAGCATATATAATGATTTGATTCTGGTATGTGATTTTACACACTAGGTAGACACATTTTAATGGGTTAACAATTTTAGATTAAGTTTACTATTCTAGTGGCGTGGATAAATGCATTTATATTGGCTAAGAACTTAGTCCTATTCAGTCAATGTTCGAAACAATATTTCTTGCCTACAGTCAGGATAATACAGTTTCTTTTCAACTAGGACAGAAACTAGTAGCAGGTCGAGCAGTACCAGTCAAAGAGGATAGTTTTCTATGTAGCCACCGCTAAAGTTTTCGAAAACGTTAAGCTATAGTACGAGGAAAAATTGGTCGAAACTCTAATAACACCCAAGAGTTGGCCACACTTAAGAAATCGCAAACAATATAGAAATAATAGTTCCAAATGAATCAAAAAGATATAAAATATGAGTAAATATAGTCAAAAACTAAAGAAACAAATCATGTAAGAGAAGAACAAGTGAAAGACATACATGAAGATACTTTCTCACACATCGTTACAGGTACATAAAAATGTATTCTACTTGGGTCTAGTATTCAAGTAACAAAGGAATCCTTCAAATATATTGAGTATTAGATTAAGTTATTCAATAGATGACAGGACATCTGTTCATTTCATTAGGAAAGCCCGACATATATTGTCACAGCCGTAAAATTTTCCGAGATTCACTGTCAATAATTACCGGATTTCCTTAGCAAGTCTCTCTGTCCATTCTATCACCTTTGACGGAAGTAGGCACTCGACATAGTTTATTCAGGGTGTTCACTTCACTGGTTTCAATGAAGCTGGAACACGAAAGCTATTAGTTTTGTTTGTTTTCATTGAAACTCCGTTTCCTGGCTCTCATACATCCATTTTCACTGGATCTATTCTTATCAAGCCAGGTTGACTGATGCATGTGTAGTTCGTAGTAGAACATAATAAAGGGAAACATTCGTTAGTCCTAAAGACTGCAATTCTTTGTACACCAAAGGCTATCATGCCATTTTAACTCATAGATTCATCACCGTTAAGAGTTTGTTTTCCCATAGGTCTTCTTGAATGCACTAACAAAGGATATTGTTTTCTTCAAACCGCAGTAATTTTTAAACAACTCTCATCTGACTGTAAACGAATATTCTATATGACAGTTAACAGGAGTATATTTCTAGAGCCTTAGTTGCTTTTTAAGGTTATGTGAGGTTAAACTCCTCTTTCATGCCCTCGTCTAAATGGAACTACTGGGGACCCCGAATTATTGATGTTCAATTAATACTGAGGTACACCAAAAACAGTTATATTTCTTGAAAAATACCTGCATGCTTTAATATTCGCATTTAAAAAGTATGTAAAGCTGCATCAAAAAGTACTAAACAATCTTTTGTTTGTACCACCTCTTTGTTTGTCTGCACAGAAAACTGCTTCCTGGGACGGCCATTACTCCTCCTAGTTTTTGTTCATTGTTTCGAATTATGACATACATGACTTTGTTGCAGCGCATTGAGCTGGAGAGAGGAAAACGGGAACCCGGAGAAGTAGGTTGGCATTCAGTTCTTGATGTGCATTAGATCACGGAGCTGAATTTGGACAACTCAAAATCCGTGGATATCGAAGGTCTCACGGATGAATATTCGTCCTTAGAGGTCTTGAGCATGATGAACGTTGGTCTTCAAAGTTTGGCTGGTTTGCCTTGTCTTACCAGCTTAAAAAATGTAAGTTGGACTAGACTAAATTATGCTTTCTAAGCTTGAGTTGTCGAATAATTTGATATCTGGTGGTCTTGACGCTCTGCTCAAATGTCCCAACATTGAGCAACTTAATCTAAGTAGCAATAAGATTGAATCAATGGATGTATTGATTCCACTGGCTAAGCTATCCGAACTCAAGAGTCTGGACCTCGGGAACTGTCCTGTCACCGCTACGGAGAATTACCGTAAAAAGGCTTTTGCGATGATCCCCTCTTTAAAGTATTTGGACGGTCTTGATGAGTAAGTTCATATACTTAGATTTAACTCATGATTCAGGAACAACGAGGAAGAAGTGTTTGGAAACGATTTTCTGAATGGAGGTCTTGACGAAGAGGGTAAGTCAAACCGTTTGTCTTGATATGTTCGTATGTCACAGTTTATTGTAAAGTTTTACCCGTAAGCGATTCATACTGTTCAGTCAACCAATTGGTTCGGCCATTTAAGTGTTTAATTAGGAACGCGAGTGTTCAAAACGGTTTTGTGTCTAGCTTGGTTACCCATGCGTATAGCGCTCGTTGCTCTATGTTCAGTTTCTCGATTTGTGTGGTCAAATTGATGTGCTCATTCATGTCTTCATTCTTGTAAATTGTTAATCCCAGTATGCATTCGGTCTACTATGTGTCCGAAAGACGTTTTTGGAACGAAGCTATCGTTATTAGTTATTACTTCGGAAACATTCTCGTTAATGGTCCTCGCTTTCGGCCTTCTGTATTTCCGTTTCTCTGTTTTTGTCATTGTGATTTGTAAATGGTTGTCTCATTACACTCACCTCGAAGGCCTACATAGAATCTACTGTCTGGATATGAATAAATAGCTTTTCTCTAAGTTCCAAGATGTGTGGTTTATTGCATTGCCGTGACATGAACTAGGTCCAAAATGTGTGTGTAAAGGGCATTATTTCAAGGATGTGAATATAGATATAGACTTATAAAGAACCTGTTATATTTTGGTGCGCCTCAGTGTCATGAGTTGACGCTCGCCTTCTCGTGAGGTTCTGACAGTGAGGCGGCAGTCCTGGTGTCGTTGATACATTAAGGGTAAATGAAGACTGGTCAAATGGATGATCACACTTCATTCCTGTTCATGGCAAACACTAAGCTTCAACATGTGGTTCTAGACGTATAATGAGACTATAGGTAGATTTTGTTAACAAGTTAGACGTGTGGACAAAGTCTTTAGATTAGAAGTTGGTAGTAGAAGTTAAGAAATCTAGCGAATAAAGTAGTTTTCGGACGTTCCTCGGTTGTCTTCCATGAATCGCTTTCACTGCTGATGACATTCTATTAAGTACTTCTGGCTTCATCTATTTCGCTCTTTTTGTTAATAGTTACTAGGTTTTTTTAGATGACAGCACATGGATGTCCAGTTTCTGTTTAACTAAGTAAATCAATAGACAAGTAAAAATCTATTTCCTCGACAAAAAAGCATTTTAGAAGTTAACTTTACATCTCGTTTAATTGTTTTGATGTAGCGGACGGTGTCGATGAAGCTGATGAAGAGGATGAGGAAGGATCTGATGAGGAAGACGAATGTGACGACGAAATCGGCATTGAAGCCCTTCAACAAAGTGGTGAACTTGAAGATGACGAAGATGACTATGCTCCAGGTAAGTATTGTTATTAAATGCTTAATTTCTTGCGATACCCACTCATATTAACTCGACGTTTTTTGTTCTCTCTTATAGGCGAAGATGAGGAAGCGGAATTAGATGATTACGACGATGTGGATGATGAAGATGAAGACGAGGTGGAGGAAGACAACGGAGCTAACCTTTCGGCTGCCAACGTGAGTGGACCTCGACGTCCCGGCACCAAGCGGCGTCATGATGACATTCAAGATGGAAAAAATGGGGATAAAGCAGAGCACTGTGGAACTAAGCATAAGCACGTTGAAGATCGCGTGGAGACTCACGTTGAAAACGGATCAACTGCGGATGATTAGACAGTTGATATAAACTTCATTGTTCTTATTTAGGCCAAATTCCTATTGTATATGTTATGTTCATGTTCATCTTTTATGTTTAACCACAAATTCACCCAAAATGAACTATGTATTTGTACAGTACATTTGCTGACATTTTTTTCGACAACACATAATTCAGTGTTAGCTAATGCATTTACTCATTTGTAATACTTTATTACATTGTTAAATTTTCGAAGCATCTTTTTAACTAAAATCTATCCATATTTGTTGAGTTTTAATCATTACAAATTGAATTGTCATCTTAATAATCAGTCTATTACTTGCTTGTCTGACCTGCATAGTCCAGATAACGTTTAAAAAATGAGCATGAATTTCTAAGCCCACGCACCAAGACTCAACTGGTAATTCATTTTGGTAGATTGATGTAGTCTTGGTGTTTCGAGAAGTCAAAAAGAACTTGGTTCCATCGTGTGTAGGGATGTATCGCTGCTAAGCGTGCTAGGTGTTTGGGCTGTGCTTAACTAGTGCCTATGTGTGATGTACCTCAAACACGAAAGGTGAACCCTTAGTAGTTGTGCGAAATGTCATAGATCCAGTCGAGTACTAACGCCTTAAGGGGCCCAGAATTCTGCTAAGGCTCTCTAGGGTTGCGTAATTATTTTGCTTCAGTGTACCAACAGCAGTGAGACGATTGCACAAGCTAAACAGGGATGGGGTCTTAGAAGACTACGGCTATGCCCTTGAGTTTGCGTCCGTGAGTCGTACTTGTGGGTCTTGCGTATAAGGTTTCTGGCAATCTGTGATGGAGTTCGTTCGCGTGTAGTCACCTAGAGCTCTTGGACTGAAATCCACGGATTATGATACCAAGCCTCGACGAACATGGCTGTCATCCCATAGATACCTCAGGTTAAGTCGCAATTAAAACACTACGACTTAGGTTTCATGGCTACTTGGCTATCCACTACTTAGTTTACACGGGTCGACGTACATCACCTATCGAATACAATGCTGTAGACTAAAAACAAGGGGCGAAGTATATTGGTCGAAATGACAATAAGACTAAATGAGTTCTAAAGTGCTGGGTCGGTTTTCTAACTTCGCAGTTATATTTCTAAAAGTGGACACCAATAGACAAAGTAACATCTGGGTTGCTGTATATGTTAATTCAGGCTGTCGGTTGTAACAAATTGCATAGATATTTTGAAACCTAGCATGAGGTCTCGGTCATTTGTGATAATACTAGTTTTGTGCATAGATTGCATGGGACTTAACAAGAATGACACCTGTTTCGAGATCAGATTGATGTTCAATTATCCTAATGATTATATTACTAGGGATCAACATGAAACAAGTCTCATAATATCAAGTTTATCCCTTGAAACTCATTATAGAGGACTAAGAAAGTAAGTATCCACTCAAGTGGACATTACGAGAGAGTAGGCATTATTCTGTCTAAGTACTTTGACTAAGTAGTGTAAATTAATATAAGGAATATTTACAGATAAAAAGTGTCGTTGAAATGAGACTAGAGGTCATACAAAGACTTTTAGAAATAACTTCAAAACCCTATGCCTGAAATAAAACTGAGACTGCAAGTACGGATATTAAGCACCTGGTGGATAGTAAATACACCCAAAGCCTTTAGAATACCATACGAGAAACCCTACTTGTATCATGTAATTGCGCAATCACTTGTTTCAACCAATGATTACGACCCACAATGCTTTTATAAATTGGAATTTCCCTAATATAAATGAGCATCAAACTGGAACGTATTATGTAATGTTGATGGATAAGTATTATATAGATTGTGTTGATTTGTAGTCATCTATGACAAATTAATCAATCTCAGCGAAAACCTTTAATCATAATACTATGACAGTCTGGTCAGTAGAGATTTACTTCTAGAATTTTAGTGGAGAATCGCGGTCGGTTATGTTCAAATATGACGCCAATGAAATAATCATAATCAATGATGTTGTATGATCGTCATATTATATAAAGAATAGGTTTAAGCTAGAAATGTTTATTATTGGTCATAGAGGTGTGAAAATAAATAAGGTGATATGATTAGCATTTACGAATAAAATAATGACAATATAAGACATAAGTAAAGGGAGAATGCAGTAATAATAATAATAATAATAATAATAATAATAATAATAATAATAATAATAATAATAGGATAATCAAAATAGTTAGGGTCAAGGTAACGATAACGATAAGACGTACTTCTTTTGTACGCATAGTTCTGGTATAAGCTCCTGGATTGTAAGAGCTTCGGCTATTTTAAGAGTTGGATACGAAGAAATCTGGGTAGATTTGAACGAATCATATAAACAAACTTAAAATCAAATTGTGGATCTGTAGAATGGTTACAGTCGATTAGGTGTTCAAGTATAGAACTCCTAGCTGCTTTCCTTTCACCCTTATAGAACCAAGCTGGGATATGTTCCCGTATCCGAGTTGAAAGCGAGCGCTGGCTACGGTCAATGTACCTTGCTCTACAAGAGCAATGAATGTGTCTTAGATCAGTCATTTTAAATTCATTGAAATAAAATAATGATTTCACTGTATTATGTAAAACTTATAGTTTAAAAATTAAGGGTAGTATATATCAGACTATTTGTTAGTTTATATATTTCAAGCTAATAATAACCATTATCTAATAGCCTATAAGGATTTTCTGTATATTAATCTTTATTTTTAGATTGGCTAAGTTTTGTTAAAGTATATTTAAGCCATTGATTACCTCTATTTAAATAATTAAGTTATATACCAACTCATATATTTCCATTATCTACAACACATTAGTTACAATATACTTGTTTTTATTCTCCAAGCACAATTATTATTTCAAATGATAGTCCTCTTGTAGTGAAGGAGAACACAGGTGAGGACAACCGAATTATATTTAGCACAACATTACAGAGTTACTTGGTGAAATATAGAAAAACCATACTGTAATACTTAATTTGCAAACTGTTCAATAATTGTCTCGAACTTCATTGTTCTTGCATTTCCATACTAATTGCTTTCTATTCCCACTCTTCCTTTCTTAATCTTCCTCCATCATCTGCTGCCAGACATTACATTCATGACTTGCGTCATATACTACTTATATCAAACATAAGTAGCACACGCCACACTTTCACCTTGATTTAAAATTGTTGTATAACTACGGAAATAGCTTCTTTTTTCTTGATGACAGATAAAATATCACTCATACATATATATAGAGAGAGTGATTATGTTAAAGTAATCTTGAACTCCTCTTCATTTAATAGAATATTCACATGATTCTTTAGAATTTTCTAAGCCTACTGAGTTAGTAAAAATATTCACAATTGTTTTCTATATTAATAATGAAATATAAGACACATCTCATTGAAAATGAATCACAATCAATTATTGAATTAGATATTACTAGTAAATAGCATTTCACTATAAATAAACAATTGGATTCAATTGATTAAACTGATACTTAACGGATCTATAATTTTTTCTATGAAAATCATTTATGATTAGTATCAGAAGGGGTTAGAGGGATATTATAGTTATTTTATTAGTTGAGATCATGAGTCAATTGAAGTTAGACCACCATGAAAAACATGGAAGCACTGGATGACCATTTCATCCTATTGTGATTCCTGCAGCACTGCCACGATCCCACCTCGTGAGATTCCAACTCAAGATCAATCAGTCTCGCATGCGAGCGCCTAACCAAGTAGACTACTGAGCTGGTTGACATCCAACGGTGTTAATGTCTAACTTCAAATAATCCACAAAACTGAGTGACACATCTACCATTGTCTTCAATGAGTTCCTATCTCATAACAGACCCGATTGAATTCCACTGGTCACTTTTATAGATTAAAAATGATCAATCAATCCATAGAGTATAAATCTCTCTTTTCTAATATTTGTATTTTGTTATTTTATAAACAACAAGACACACACACAATATGAATGTTAGTTACTCGCCTATTCAGTGGAAATTTGATTTTGTTTTATACCTGATATAATGTTCAATTACATTTTTGTTAAGTATGCTGAGGAATATACCAATCATTATCATGTTAAGTCTAATGATGTCCTTGGACTCTAAATGGACATCCCCTATTGGCCGTTATTTATTTCACTTGTTAAATATTGTGTAAATGTTGTTTTCTATTTTATGGTACGATTTGGTTTGTTTGTTTGGTATATAAATAGAGTATGTCTGAAATATAATGATTCATAACTCAGAGGCTGTGGCTTGCGTTCTAGACTCAACTGGCTGGGCTAGACAGGGAAGCGGGGCCAATCAGTACACTAGGTCGTTCACTACGTGTTTTCCGTGTCACTGTAATCGGTCGAATAACGCTGCTTATCAAAACCTGTAGTCCACCCGTTACAACAATTTTGGAATTTATTTCATTGAAATAACAAACAACCTTGAGACAATCTTTTGGTTATAATAATAATCAACCAATCAAATGACAGTTTTGATTTTGATTCTATCGACTTATATTTGTCCTTTCAAGGTTATTTGATTCATGATTATTTTTTTTGATTCAAGGACCAATCAAATTGATTATTAATTTGTTTCATATTTAGTTAAGTCCTAGAGATTCATTTAAATCTCTAACAAGAACAGAATGAATAATAATAAAACAATCAAATATATGAAAAGAACATGATTTTAAAGACATGAAAATATTGGTAGTATAGATTTTTGTTAGAATTTGTCGTTTAGGTGTTGATTGTCTTGGCTCTTTTAATGTTACTTTTTGTATCTGGTCGTCGCTGATTGTTATATCGGAAACGCTTATCATTTATACTCGGAATGAGGGACTTCTGCAATCCCAACCACGCGAAAGTAAGAACACAAAGACTGGTATAAGTGGTGATTTATTAACCCAAAAACACTGCGAGACTAATTCATGGACGAGCCAATCCGAAGCGTTTTAGGGATTTCAAGGTTACGGCGCCAACTTCAGTGTTTAGTGCTAACGCACGATCGGTTCACAGGGAATTTTGTACGAAAAGTGATAATTGAGCGGTTATATCAAATAAAATGGCGAGATTATAATTTGTGGACGAATCAATCAGGCATAAGATAACAGATCTCGGATTTTAATGCGAAAGCCTTTCATCCATTTGGCTAAATAAATTTCTGGCATTATAGCTGATGTCAGTTCGTGATGAAAATCCCATATATAATTCCTAACTAAGGCGAATTACGACAATTATTGCGAACTGGATAATAAAAGTACAAGTAACACTGGCTGCAGCCAGGTACTCCAATATATACGGATGTTTGGAGAGCGTACAGACTTCTACATAGGCTTTGATTATATGCATCATGTGGTTATCCACAAGTGATATTTTGTGCACTCAACAACCGGAGTGCACACAAGCAATATTGAAGCTATATGGTCGAGGCTGAAATAGTTTTTGAGACT